CAATGATGCAATACATATTTTATTTATTGTCCCTTTGCATTGTCTTTCAACAAATAAAAATTCATATAAATCAAGGTCGACTCCAAAAAATAAAGGTTAACTTCAACTTAATATCTAATTAACAGATATTAGGGTTTATTTATTTGTAATTTAAAATAATGTTCAAAATGGAATCAATTGATATATTTATATTTTAATTAATTGTGAATATAAATATTAAAAATTATGAAAATGACTGTTTAATTAGTTTTTGATTTTACACAATTGTATTAAAAACTATTTTTGAAGACACTAACTCTTTTTCATCCAACATATTTTTATCGTATTCCTTCTTTTCATAAACAAAAATTGTACTTGAACTTTATACAATCAAATTAAATAAATAATTTAAATTGTTGAATAGTATAAATGACCCAAAAAATAAACACAAAAGTAAAATACGTAATTTAAATTAAAATAACGATATTTCACAGTTCCCACCGCCATAAACAAGGGCTCCTATAGGGCGGTATGCGGGTATGCTAATATGACATATACATGATTTTATTCAATTAATAAAAAATTAAATTAAATTTATATAATTAAATTTAAAATTAATATTATATATATAATTCTCTCTCCTTCAAAGTCCCATATCGAGATCAGACCTACTCTTTTTCTCTCTCTCTCTCTACTCTCTACTTCACATTTTTCTGCCTCTCTCGTTTTCGCTTCCATTCCTCTTTTCTTCTTTCACCATTTTGCTTTCCCTCCAGAAATGTATGCAGAAACCGGCCTTTTCTTCCCCTACAGCAAAATTTTTCTCAAGATTTTCAGCAACTTGAGAATATTGTAATCATATAACCAATTCTCTTTGGTCTCTTCCCTCTCCCTCTTTTTCTTTTTCTCCTGTCTTCTCTCTTTAATTCAAGTGATCTGCATTTTGTTTCACTTGTTTTCAATTTTGTGTTTGTAGTTTTATGTACTCTTGTTTTCTTTCTTTGAAAATGGAGCAAAATCAGAATGCAAATTACATTTGGTTTACTACTGAGTTGGTGTTGCAAAGTTTAGTTTTTGATCATCAAGATTCAATTTTGTTTAGATTTGATTGTCTGTTATTTTCTCTAATTCTTCGAAATATTATAGAATTTTAAACGTTTGTGGATATAGCTCTATGGGTTTTTTCAAAGAACGAAGCTTTTTTAATATCCTGCTTTTCTTGTGCACATTTTTCTGGAAGCCAAACAGGGTATACAATTAATATGAAAAAGAAAAAGAAAAGTGAGAATAAAATTAGAAATGATTTCACAGTCCCAAGTTCCGTGTTCTTCAAGGATTCTTCCGTTCTTTTAAACTTTTTGAGGTGTAGTATAGTTGGTTTTTAGCTTTTTTACAGCACTTTGAAAAGCAAAACCTTTTGTTTTTGTATAATTTTTTTTTTTTTTTTTTTTTTTTTTTTTTTTATGACTAAAGGAAGACAGAAGTTCATTTGCCTTTTATTATTTAGTTTTGTTTTGGAAAGTATTTTGTGAAAGTTGAAGAATTGCAAATTGCCATGAAAAGTAATGTAGATGTTTACTTTAGGTAAATTAGGTAAAAGTGAATTGTATCTCAGAGATTAAGTTAAACTAAACTCCTTTTTTTTTTTTTTCTTTTTGGTGGTTGTTATAATGGAAATTTTTGTTGAAATAGATTGTCATACGGAATATTTGACAGAAAAGATTTAGTTTTTTATATTTTAAATGTATTTTTAGTTTGGTCAAGTTAAAGGGATGCGTGCTTTTGAAGTTGGATTGAATTGCTTTGGTAAAAATATGAATGTTGAAGTAGCAGACTATCTGATTAGGGTCTAAAAAGTTGATAAACTAGATTACAAAAACTGCCAATACCTCTTATGGTTCATTATGTACATTGATGCATGTCGTTGGTGGCGTGGGGCTGATGATCGTCGTGTAAAAAATTATGATGGTAATTGTAGATTTTTGTTCTTGAACTTGTGGATTGAGTGTGTCATACATTTGATGGGTAATTTATTCTTAATTTGTTATCCATTTAGTTTCAGAAGACAGTTATGAGATGGTATGGATGATGATGTTGTGATTGGTCAATTCAGCATTGGCTTGATTTGTGATATTAGGAGTAGCGGTTTAATTTACAGTTTCCGATTCTTAAAGTTTTGTACACGATAATTTCAGATCCTATTGTGACTAAGTCATTGGTAAAGTGTTCTAATGAGAGAGCTTATGTGGCATCTCCTGCAATAATTACTGATTTTTAATTTTGTGTTCTTGTGTAGAGCAACAATGTCGAGATCCCCACCATGTTAGACTTTGATCTGGGAGACGAAGGGGATTATTCAAGCTCCAGAGCCAATCATGGAAGAACCATGGGGAGCTAGATCCTGACATCAGCATTTCAATGATCTCTTGGTGAAGATGTCATCCTCCACGGACTCAAGGTTGCAAATATTGACTCAATCACATGAACAGCTTTTGAGTGAGGTTTTCTCTGATGGGGAGAAGGATCTTGGCGAAAGGAGTGATGATGCACCATTTTCTGAGGTCCTTGATGTCAAAATTCCTGTTATGAGGACTGATGAAAACCAAATTCAGAAAGCAAGTTGCTTCCTGATATACCATTTCAGAAAAGTGAGCTCTGGAAGCTTAACCTCAATGGAATGGGTGCGTGGGACTATGATGAAACCAAGTTTTCTGGAGATTCCGGGTATGGATTTTGGATCTGTTTATGGCATGCGGAGAGCATTCAGTGAAGGAGACATAAAGGTCAGACTAATTTTGCAATGTTTTTAACCTTTTCTCTCCCCGTATGTGCTTCTATAATTTTACTCTACATGTTTGGGCAGTGGGTTTCCTAAAGCATTTGCATTTTTTGGATTTATTTTCTCATTTCTTTAAGTCACCTTAGATGGGGTAGATGGGGAGGGTCTTTTTGCGAGACTTACTTTTCAAATGATGATATCAAGGTGTTGCACTTAGTTCTTTGAGTGAACAATGGTTGACGGTTATTTTTCTATAAACATTGTAGTATATTGATCATGTCTCCAAAAATAACGACTAATCCAGTTAGACTTTAGCAATTTAAAGCCTCTACCTAGTAGTACTTGAAACCAACTGAATATATCTGTAGTCCACGGTTGTGTGTGGTCCGTGTATATAAGAAGATGAAAATACCACTGGATAGACCCTTCTGTTTATAGGTTTTTTAATTTTCTCGGACAGAGTTGGGGGGTTAAATCTTTTTCCTCTATAAATTCTAGACCACTTAGGCATATACTCCTTATTAGAGGTCTTGCTGTGGCAACATGGCTCATTGTTGCCTCTTCGTTTCTCCTTGCTCATATGTGGCATGACCCACAGTATTGGCTTTGCATAGTAGTCTATGGACTGAGAAATGTTTAGATGTTTTGGTCATTTCCACAGGATGGGGCTGGGTCTTGATACTGAGTTTTATGACAGACTCTTGGTAATGACAATTGAGCTTCATCCACTCCCCTCACGAACAGCCTGTGATGATCACCACCTGCCCTACTGAGGACCGCAGGGAAAAGCTTTCCGATACAGAAATAAAAGACAAGAGGAATTTGGCAGAAGAATCAAGGTAAGATTGATTAGTAATACTTATGCTTTTGCTTTTTCCATAGATTATGTTGTTTGGCAAAAAACAAACTACAAACCCACAATTCTATGCGAACTTTTAGCATGTGTATGCACATGTTATTCTTAACTAGCAACATAAATTCGCGTTGCTTCTGGCAACGGACTCTATGGAAGACTCTTACTAAAGCTTTTTATGCTTTTTCAGTATGCTTGCAGGAAGGCTCTTGCAGACAGTCACACAAGAATTCGTGGAGTTTGCAAAGACAGAAGAACCAGACATGTCCAGGAGGCAATAACTCATAACTATTCGGTAAGAAGAAGAATAGGAATGAATAGCTAAGTTTGATGAAGTGCAATGCAATGAATGAGTGTAGTGAAGCCTGCAAAGAGAATTAGTGGACAGCCAAATAAACAAGAACCCCCTCCCAACTTCTGAGAAGTAGCGATCTCTTATTTTCTGTAATAACCTACTGTAAACGAAGACGGCGAGTAGGATTGTATATAAGGTTTGTGAATAAATGAAGCCAAGAATTGTACTTGTTCATATATAGTTTAAGAAATGGCAATGCTTCCAGGATAGATGATTCAATCTGTTTATATTGCTGCAAAATGGCTGACCGGCTGATTATTATGAATAACAAAAGTACTTAGAAGTACATGAATGCAGCACAATTTGTGAAACAAATCTTCATAAATTGTTTTCCAATTGAATGCAAGCTTTTTGTGCTTATTTGGATGTGACATAATACAAGTCATTATCACAGAAAATCTTTGAAAAAAGAGAGCAACCAATTCACTTGGTTTTCTCTGTAATCAACCCACCTACAAAATGAATCATTTTGCCGGCTGTTTCAGAAGCTTCATATTTTAATGACTACAAAAATTTATGCACTGGTTAACTCCAGTTGTGTATCCAGAATAGTGGGTGGTTCTACTGGCTCTTACTATCAAGCTAAAGCAGCACTACTTCTTTATTTACAAATTAAATTTTATTCTTAACACACATAAATCTCACATATGTATAAAAATTATTCTATTTTTTCTTTGAAAATAATAAAAAAATTATTTCAAAACACAATTAAAAAAAAAAAAAAAATCCTGAAAAAGAAAACAACCCATGACATATTACAACCAAGCAACTATCTCACTGTAATATAAAATAACATAAAACAATATTCTGCATCTGTTAATATAAAATTTCTGCTATTTTATTTTCAACGGTTTTTTTTATTTATTATATAATTTTAAATTGAGAAAAATTGCATCTGTAAGGCTTTTAATTTTGCTGGGCTGTATAACAAAGTAGCCCAGTTTCATCTATAAGGCTTCGGCCTCGTTTCAGTTTTAGTTCTTGTACTGCTTAACCAAGAGAACCACTTTTTGACTTACAAAATCAAATACTTCATATAATGGTAATACAATTTACGGCACAAATCTTGATCTGATTACGTTCAATCCAAAAATCTATTAGTACTAATTAGACAACATCAGTATGATTAGTTAATTCTCTTTCTATAAAAGCTTTCTTGATGATATTGAGAGATTCATCAATATCCTCGCAAAGTTGGTGAGGATTCGGAATCACATTTGGGTCAACAGCTACAACAACGATCATCTTATTCAAATAGCTTTGGAAATGGATTGTCAATGCCTGCAAAACCGTCAATCTAATATTACTGATCTTGCAGGTTTGACGGGCGCCAACAAAATGAAATCGTGAGACCATCCCATCTATTGTCAGAGAGTATTTACCTGCGGATGTCCATAAACACTTGGAGCAATATAAGTGATTGGGTGGCCATAAAAGCTAATTTCCTCTGAAGGGCCAACCACATTTGAGAAAGCCATTGTAGTGTTTGAAAGAACTCTCACCGCCGTAGCAGCAGCCACCTATTTTAAGCATTTAACAATTAGTTCAATGCTTAAAGCAGTTTAAATTTAATTTCGAGATGAACATGTTTGAATATATAATACATTATCATACCCTGTAACCAAATGCCTTGAGTACTAACTTGGCAGTTGAAAATGTGCATAAAGCTTCAAGAGAGAGCTTCTTTCTATCGATTGTGGCTTTAGCTCCACGAACATACTCTAATGGGTCATTTTGCAAACCTATTTTGAAGGGAAGAAGAACATATCCGATCCTATTTCCCCACCCGCCCTTGGATCCCTTCTCCATCATATCAGCCAATGCCTGTTTTAGAAAAAAAAAAATCATAAATTTTATGATAAAAATAAGTTTATAAAACACAGACTAATATTAATACTTATAGATAAACTAGAGATTATTTTTATTTATTTTTTCTGAAGTTTCGCTAAAATACCTATAACCTAGCATATATTTGAGAAGTGGCATGGGATAATTTTATTCTTTATTATTAGTATTAATTGATTTTGATTAGAAATATTATCATAACAAGAGAGATAATTCACCTGGATACCCGTAGTTGGTCTGAGGTTGACAAGAACAGATGCCCTAAGGCGGATGTTTTTTGGAAGATTACTTGACTTGTGTTCTCCATCAGTTTCAGCTGCTGAGGGAGAAACTCGTTAAGTAATTAATTAATACATCTAAGTTTTGGATAGTTTACTTGGGATTTTAGTGTAAAATACAGTAGCTGGTCAATTAATTTAATAATTATATATATGAAATTAAAAAAAAAAAAAAAAGATCAGAGGGTTTGATAGAGAACTGACAGTTGATCCGATTGAGATACCGCGAGAGAGCAGCTTGTGTAACTCCCAATATAACATCGTTGATGGTCTAATAATAATTAACTCACCCACATCAAACAACAAGAACAGATAATTAATAACAATTTAATGATACAAAAGCGCAAGGAAATTAAGAATAGAAACAATAAAAGGGGATGAGCTCGCTGCCAATACTCTGGATTGTCTGATCATTTCAGGCATCTATGACAATCAATTTTCATGGTCATAAATTTTCGATGGTGAAGCTAGCTTTAATATGGCACTTAAAGCACAAATAACATATTAATAATGTGCGCCGTTAAGAAGGTACACATTAAGATCATAAAAGACAAAAAAAATTGATTATATTAATGCATTAAAAGTATTTTTTTTCTTTTTTATTATATAATACTTCGAAATAATTAAAATTTTATCTGGTTTTAACGTTAAAGGGAATAGTAAGCATACCATGTTCATTGCATTCTTGACAAGCTTAATGTCATCCAAATTCAATATTCTGTGAACAAACAGCTTGGGAGCATTCTCATCTCCAGGACCACCTTTCAGAGGATTCCTTGTATCTTCCAAAAATAACGTTGTTGCTGAAAACATAATCAAATCCACAACGCTATTCCAAATTAACATTATTCCTGACCATATTGCCAAAAACAACCACCAAATCCCCCGTTCAGGAGCACCTGAACCTTCATTTTTCTGCACTGGAACACTTGGCAGCGCTTCTGGGTCAGAGGTTTTTCTGGTGCATGCAAGCAGAAGAGAAATGAGAGATGCTCCATCTCCAATTGAGTGGTGAATCCGAAACACTCCTATGGCTTCTGCCTCCGAGGTTTTAACATTCAGGATGTGAAGTTCCCATAAGGGTTTTGAGAGATCCAGAGGTTGTGTTGTTATATGGGAGATGTAGTCTTCAACAAATTGTTCAGGATTTTCCATTTCTGAATCTATATCCGGAACAATAACATGGTTTTCGACATTTACTATTGTTTGACTCCATTTCATTTTCCTTCCTTCTGTGACCTTTTTTTTTTCAAACATAGAAATAAAAACTTAATGATGAGAAAAAAAAAATATTCTAAAAAAATTGAAAACTCAGACTCTACTCAAATTGCTAAAGAAAAATTAAAAACAGACTATTCTAAGTCTGAACATTTTTTATGGACATATTTATGGTACACGGTAATTCTCTACTCAGAGTCAGAGGCGGTCACCAGAGCGTCTTGATATAATTTTGTTTTGTAGGATGATTCATATACACCATTAGATCTGAATGGTATAATATATTTCAGACTAATAAGATAAATTTAATAGTTTACGAACATGATTGACATAATATATATATTGAATGAAATAAATAAAGCAACAAATTTATTTGATCGATAGAATTTTACAGTGAATGAGATCAAATAATCAAGATCAGCACAGAAGTGCAAAAGTAGATAACATTAAACTAATAATAAAAAAAGAGAAGAAAGTCAGAAAAATAAGGTAAATATCTTTTCAGAACAAATAATTATTTGTAATACATATAATAATTAATATCTGCCGAAAATCTCTAGAGAATCCTAGTATTCATAATAATAGGATCGTTTAAACATTAATTTTATAATGTTTATTCATAATTTGAAAGTCAAACATAGAATAAAATGGAACTTGTGAATGGTTTATTCAAATTGTTACGTAACCAATAAGTAAACTAACAAAGAAGAAAACTCACCAGCTTGCTGGAGAAACGAGGATGTTTGATCAAAGTCTTCTTCAATCCTTCTTTGATAACACTTGGATTAACTCTAGTTTTGCACCCAACAATCGCGATGATGTAGCAGTTGAAACTCGGCGCATGGAACAATTGAGCTGCCGGACTCAAAGGTACTTCAGCCTTGTAGCTCACCATTTTCTTCAAGGAAATTAAGCTATATCGATAATCGATGCCTAGCTGGAAACTTGATATCTTCTTGTTCTCTCTCTCTCTCTGTTGCTCTCTCTTTCATTGTGGCGTATTTATTCAGCTCTTTCATTCATATATGCATGCAGATGAGCTGGGATTGTCAGAACTCCGGGGATTTGTATTTTAATTAAATAATCAATGGCGGAAGCAGGATAGGACGAGAGTGGATCAGTACCCTTCTCTAAAAGTTTTAATATAATTAATAAAAAATTGTTATAATTATATCCTTAATAGTTTTGTGAAGCCGGTGATGATAGTCAAAGTTGAAGGCAGAGGCCTTTTACAGAAGATGGTTGAAAAGTGTTCTTGGTGTTCGCATTCTTGACAAAAATTTCAAAGCAAAAGTGATTGAAAACAAGTAAGTAATTAAGGTAGATCTTGAGATTTTTGGAAGAAGTAAATCTCGTAAAAAATAAAAAAAGTCAATGGCTAAAGGCTAGCTAATAGCCACTGATAAATAATATTATAAAAAATCAATTTCTCCGCAACCAATAAAAGGGAGAAGGATTTTTCCCACCCAAGGTTTACCAAAACGACACTTTCCCACCCATCTAGTTTCAAAACGACACTTTCCCACCCATGTTAAAATCCATCCGTTAAGTTTAACTAAAGGAGGATATAATAGTAATTTAATAAAACTGTTAAAGGTAATTATGTCATTTTACATAAACTAATTCAATCCCATTTACTTTCTTCCCCACCCCATCCCATCGCCCTAAAATCCTCCACCTCACCTGACCTTCATCCTCACTATCACCCCAAAAAAAGGCCTATCACTCCAACTCATGCCCACTCTCAAGAAAGCTCTTAACATGGTTGCACCTGATTTCCACCAAATCTTGAAAAAACTCAACCCCGATTTGGTCATTTATGATTTTCTCCAGTCATGGGCGCATGCAACAACTTTGTCACTCAATATTCCTGCCGTTCATTTTCTTGTCACTTCTATCGTAATGATTGCGTTTTTAGATCATGCTGGTAAAAATCCAGGTGTTGAATTTTTGAAACCGAAATTATCCCACTTGCTTGAATCGATTTCAAATGGAGTGAAAGATTAACACAAGGTTAAAGAATGCTTAGAATTTGGCCGGATGCTTTCCAGCCAGAAGCACACTCGGCCTGGTGGGATTTGGCTAGAATCGCATCCAGTCGAATTCAAACTTGGATCTTGGGTGAGAAAGTGAGAAGATTGTGGTGGTTGGGTGTGATTCCAGCTAATTGGTGTGAGAAGGTTAGAAGATTCCGACCTTTTTTTTTTTGATTTTTTTGATTTGGATGATGTTGTTTTGTGTTGATTTGGATAAGAGTGATGATGTTGTGTGTTGATTTGGATAAGGCCAGGTGGAGATTTTGTGTGTGGATTTGTGTGAGAAGTGAGTGGTGAGAAGGCAATTGCGATTAGTCGAAACCGCAACCGGAATTAGAGGTGGAGAAGAAGAAAGAAAAGAATATAAAAGAAGGGTATTTTCGATTTTACATTGTTTTTACTGTGTCAGAGAACATATTTTCTTAACTAAACATAACGGTGGGTGGGAAAATGTCATTTTGAAACTTGAAGGGTGGGAAAAGTGTTATTTTGAAACTGGGCGGGTGTGAAAGTGTCATTTTGAAACTTGAAGGGTGGGAAAAGTGTTATTTTGAAACTGGGCGGGTGTGAAATTGTCGTTTTGCCAAACCTTGTGTGGGAAAAGGTCGTTCCCCCCCCCCCCCCCAAAAAAAATTTCATGGGCTTTGTTGGTTTGAAAAAACCCAGAATAGCACAGGGTGACATAAATTTATGTTATCTCAAATTTATCTTTTCTCATTAATATTTATTTTTATCCATACCACATATGATTCATGTATTGAATTTTGGTATAAAATACTACTGACCATCTTGATATTATAAACTTTTCTCAATTTACAATGCTTTAAAAATAAATAATAAAACCCTTATTAATTGGTATTTAACTCATTGGCATTGCCATTGATAGCTAGGTAGATGGGATACAGAGAAGTAATTAACTATATTATAATTGCATAGGTCATTTTAAAATAGGCAAGTGCTCTTTACATAATTTTCTCATAACATTTTTGTCTCAAATAAATAATTTTATTAACAGTTTGAGAAGAGCAGTATTAATGATTAAAAAAAATGTTCATATAAATAGATTTTATATGAACATTTTCCTATTTAAAATAGATTAAAAGTTTTCGGTCTTATATAAAACATATATGTTTTTATGTATAAATTTTCTTTACGTAACTTAATTAAATTATTGACTATCTGAGGTAGTTCTTCATGCAATATACTGTGGAGGCTAAGAGCCACAGACTTGTTAATTAATTTGCAATATTTCTTATCATTAAATTGACCACATATTCATGAATTCGGTTAAATGTTATGAAATTTTCTACAGAGAAGACAGAAGTAATTATAGAGAGTGTAAAGATTCTGTTTGATGGCCTTAATTTAATGATCAAAAAATAAAATTGTCTCTTTTTATAAGGTTTTTATATCAAAAAATAAAAATAAAATTGCTTTAAATCTTAGTGCTGGATTGAATGAAAGATGAGCCGCCATTTATGCTGCTTTGTTGTATAGGACAAATGATCAAAACTTTTAATTATCTTCCATTCTCAATATATCTAATTTAATAATATTTTCGGTAACGTTGTGAAACTGATAAAACGATATCATTTTTTCTAATTTTACACGAACTTCTAGACTTATATCTGAAATTGTTTAAAGAATTTAACATTTTTTTCATGAAAGATCTCCTGTATTTTGTTTTAAAAATGAAAAGTTACAGTTAAATTCTATCAGACAAATCCACAAAGATCTTTTTGAGCAGTAATGTGACGATAGTATCATAACAATGTCGACTTGGCGGAAGCAAATAGATATTTGGGGAAGTCCATTATTTATAAGGTAGTTGAGGAGTCGCTCTCCATGAGTCTCTTCTTGCAATACCCCAAAGTTTATCCACCGGATATACTATTTTTCAGTTAATATTAACTCACTGTAAAAACAAATTTCAAAATTATATATATTTAATATAACAACTTTGTGTTCTTGATTTATATATTAATTTTGTAAACTTAATAATTACCAATTTACCTTTCACTGATTTCTCTAAGCTCACCAAAAGTTATAATATCAATAAGATAACATATTATCAAATATGAAAATTTTAGGGTAAACTTGAAATCTACCCTGCTTGACACATTCAAATGCAATTAATAAACTCCAACTTTAAAGATTGAAAAATGAGTTAAAGAACTTTTTCACCCAAATATGGTTATGACATTTTTTACCACATAACTTTTAAAATTCTATTTACTCCAATTTATATATCAGGTAGCGAATAGAGCGTGAATTCGATCCAACCTATTAGGACTTTTAAAGAAGAATGTCGATGACTCTTTTGTTGGAATGGTTGGATTTTGGTGTGAGATTGATCAAAATTTGACTTGGGAGGGACAGCTCGGCAAACTCTAATCACTCAATTGCCGATTATGCAGGGATTGGGGAAGTAGGTTTGGGGGTTTTGGTGAATGATGATAAGAAATAGAAATGATGGTGGTGTAGTCGCAATGATGCAAATCGGAAAGGAATATAAATTTGAGTAGTAATTGATATTTTAAAAGTCTATGGTAAAAAAGTATCATTAAACCATTATTTGGGGGAAAAGTCCTTAATATGAAAATATTACTAAAGCTACCCTGTCTAAGTGCCGAGTGTTCGATAAAACTCTTGGGTGTATTATGAAGAGTTTTAAGTTTGAGTTCTCTCGGTTGCTAATGGGGGTAGATACTAGAGCTCTACCGGCCGATAGTTACGTCTTGGAGATTATGAGGTGTACGTAAGTTGACCCAATACCCTGGTCAATAATATATATATAATGCAAAATATTAGTGTGTTATGTTGAATTTGAAAGGAAATTACTTAAAAGGGTTATTATTATTTAAAAAACAAGTACCGGGTGGTGACAACATTATGGGTCAACAAAGAAATAAGCTTAAAAGTATTTATCTTACACTAATCTCAATTAATGTTAATTAGATCATCATGATTAAATTAATATAAATTTGAAGCTAAATCAAATCATGATGATCCAAATTTAACTCATTAGGCAGCTTGCAAATTGCAGTCAAAATTATGAAGTTGTCAAGTTGGTTAAGGTCTAATCTTTCTATTCTTTAAGTTCATTATTTTTTTAATTAATTTTGTCGAATCACAATTCAATGTCATGAGAAAAGCAGGAGGTCAACCTTCACATCTCTTATAATGTTTAATTTTATAATCACTATTTAAAGTTAATAATTATTTCAAACCATAATAATTTAGGTAAAAATTAGTGGAATATTTAAGCTGCCGAAAAGCAATAATCATGCTTAGTGGAGATTAATTTATGAATTAATTTTTTATGATTAATCTACAATTTCATTGGTGAGTTCATCCTATAAATTTTTATTAAAAAACAAAATTATTATATAATATTTAAAAAATAAATATTTTGATCCAATGATTATCAAAGGTGAGACAGACCAGAATAATATCATCTCAATTAACTTAATTTACCTAATCTTGATAAAATTACCTTTTATAATAGAACCAAACAAACTAGACAACATATTGTTGCTTTTGCTTCATAATTCCTCCTCCAATCTCACTGTTATTCTCCGTCTTTTATCACTTAATCATCATTGACAGTAATATGCTTAATGAATTAAATTGTGCCAAACTCCTAACCACAATATTGGCTTTGAATCTTTACCCCCACCACCAAACTAAGGGATTGGTTACGTGATAAATGAAAATTTTATCGATCTTTTATAATCGTTAGATTGATATTAGGAAAAAAAAAAAAACCAACTCTTAAAGTTTTTGATTGTATCAACGATACAGTCTCGTATTTAGAAGATTTTTTAGTATAAATTCAACTCAATCATCCAAATAAAAAACGTTAGGATAGTCGTTTATTAATGTATGATTGTGTTGGTCAATCTATTTTTTAGGTAATAATAATATATGATAAGTTTAAAGGGCAAAAAAGAAACAATAAATAATAAAGGAAGTTACCGAAATGCAGAGAAGGGAGGGTAACGCGCTGAAAAGGAGCGTGGGGGGTAAAGAATGACATGTGAAAGACTGATGCATTAACAGTGTAGGCCACAAAAGGCAAAGA